TCTTCATTCAGTCCTACCTTAGCTGGGAGGCCTGAGCAGAGTTTCACAGGTTCTTTAAGTTCATGTTTTGACATAATCCCCATGAAGTTTGCCTTCGTTAAGGTCAAAAGCACTGAGAGGAGGTTTATAATCTGTTCTTTAGGCTAACAGGAGCATTAGCAACTAAGATACGCTTTGGAAAGCTTTACAAGGAAGTTGCCTGGTCTGCTCAATGGACCAAAGCTGCTTCTAGGCACAGGAGTAACTCCTCTAAAGTCACTTGGTTTGAAACTGCGTCTTTGCAAAGAAAGGACTTTTCAGTTTGGCAGGTCAGGGAAAAGGCTTGGTGCTGGAATGTTCAGGTTGAACAGAAAGCAGAGTATTTTCTCTTCAGGCAAAACAAAAGTGACTGCAAACCCCCCAGAAGCCATCCTGAGTCAACATGAAACATTCCGGTTTGGTCAAATTCTTCCCCTGGAGATTCCTGTTAGAAACACAGGAATACTTGCAGAGAAAAACAGTACTTTCAAAAGTGGTACTTCAGAAAGTGTGGAAGCAAAAAGTAACTAACTGCCAAACAAATAAGAGCCAACACGGAAAGGGTCATTGAAAACAAGAAAATCTCCATCCTGTGGCTGGAATTATGGTTCCAGAACCAGAAGAATTTGCAAGTTCTGACTCCCCACACCACCAGATTTCAGGCAGACACAGTCCTCCAGCCCTGTCGTTGAGAGCAGCTCTCCTGCATTAGCTGCTCCCAGCTGCAGAGCTGGGGTATGGCTCAGCCATTAGCACTTACTGAGTGGATATGAAATGGGAAGGAAGAAGTGGGAGAAACTGTGTGAGATTTTGGCTGTCAGGCTTTTATGTAGAAATTCTTTATCAATGAGCAAGGGGATTGTTACCTCTTCCTGCTGGGCTGTCAAGTGCTGTCACTGACTTAGTGCCAGGAACTTAACGCTGCTCGCTCAGCATAGTATCTTACAAGGCTCCTCCACTTACAAGTGACCCTCTAGGATATGATTTGAAGATACTGAATGTCTTGTTTCAGTACTGAAAACTGACAGCTTTCTTTTCCCTTGGATCCAGCCCTAATACTTGTGGAGCAACAGAGAGGGTTCTGCACAGTGACATAGCCTGTGTTTCCATCTCCTGTGTCCCTAAACACCGTTAACTAGGTTATGGTGCCAAAGGCTTCCACCAGTCTGTGAGACAGGGGGGCTTATCTGGTGGGCTCCCCACCCAGCAGACAGCACAGCCTTTGCCTGTCTCAGCTTGCTGAGTGTCTGGCAGCAAGTGTAGCTGTCTCAGTGTCTCCAGTGTGAAAGAAAGAAGGAATGCAGCTCCAGCCCTGTCCTCACTGGTAATATCTTCTGGAAGGCAAGCCAAAGCCAAGACAGGGCTGTCACCCTGGCCCTGCAATTCTGCTTCTCACATTCACGTTATCTCTGTGAACTGTCAAGAGAATTAAGGAGGGAGAAATCAGCTTCAAAGAACATCACAACCAAAACATGATCTCATATGAGGAGTGCTTTCATGTACTTCCATCCTCTTTAGATTGCTCTTGGTGGGGAAGGGATGAAGAAGATGGGGCTTCACATCTCTGGGCTGTAGTTTGATAAAGAAGAGACTGTGGTTGATGTGACGCTTTGTCCTGCTGCAGCACTTGTACCACCTCTCCTCCTCGTTCTTTGCAATAGCAAGGGGGAGCTCATACCCTTCACTGGGGATGGCAGGGAGAGCTCATAGCCTTCCCTGGGAGCATGGAAGAGATGCATGCTCCAACAGAACAAGCTGCTTGGATGCATCCCCCTTTTCCTTCAGCATGGCCTTAACAGGACTTGTGCTGATGGAGGGAAGCAAAATAGAATTGAGCTCATGTTCCTTCCTCCTGGTGCATTGACTGAGTGGTACAAAGAGGGATAGCAAATTCCTCACTGCTGCATAGAGCTGAGGGCTGCAAGGGGAAACCACTGCAAAAGCTGAGGCCGCCTTTCAGCTGGTGCAGAGCTCTTCCTGCAGACACCCTGAGGACTATCACACTTTAAGACAGTTGCTTGGCTGATATAGCAGTATTTCAAATAGCTGAGAGCTGCAAGTCCTGACTTCTCTCTAGGCTGGGGGCCGGGAGAGCCCTTTGGGAAGGTGGAGTGAATCTTTCCCTGATTTGTCTTTTTTGCCTCCTTCTCTAAGCCACGTTGGATCTTATGTGTGCCCTCAGAAACACTCCAGAGGCTTTCTGTATTTTAACACAGAACAGACAGCCTGCCCTTTGCTTTGGACAGAGATCCCAAAGGCTGAGGTAGATGAAGATGTTCCTCACAGGGACGTATCCATTTGGTAGGGAAGGGTGATTGCAGAAAAGAGCCAGAAGCAAATGGCACTGGTGAGCTGGCTTGGGAAGGTTTGCAGTGGGAGTGCCGTCCACACGAGACTTTCTGACTTGACTTTACTGGTGGAGAGCTGGCTCAGCAGAGACAGGATACTCTGTGGATGGAGGGTGGGCTTCCCCCATTCTCCCTGTTCTCTGACAGCAGCCACCAGAGAGTTCCTTGGCTGCTCTTCCCATTTAGCCTTTCCCTGCAGAGATTATCCCATCAAGTTGCAATGAAGCTAAACCAGGCAGTTAAAAACCACCCAGCTAGTTCTGTTCAGCCCAAAGCTGCTTTGTATTTCCAGCAAGGAGATGGGCAATGGAAGAAGGGGGTTGTCTTGCTCTTTAATTATGATCCTTGGGACTTGCAGCTGCAGTGGGAAGCAGAAAAAGCCCCGGGAACGATTATTCAGGATTAGGATCCTGAGCTCTCCCCCCAGACGGCTGGTGCATGGAGGCTGACCCTGCCACCTTCGGGTCCCTCATGATGGGGCTGATGTGCAGGGTCACAGCTCAATTGCGGGAGAGCTGCTGAATGCCAGGTCCTGACAGAGCTTAGAAGCTCCACCAGGGAGGCTGTAAAAACAGAAGCGAGCACAGGAAATAATAGCCCATAAGCAGTGCTTCCGATACAATCATGTTCTCATTTCGGTGTCAAGCAGCAGGACAGGAATGAAGGGAAAAAATACCATTCCCCTTCCTTTTTTGGCAATAATGGCTCGTAACCTCAGAGGAATCTCCAGCCTCCAGGGTCTGGCTCTACATTTTCTCACTCCATCTGGCTCAGGCTCATAAACACACTGCTGAGCACTTGCTCTCACAAGACGTCTGGTGAGGTGGCTTTTGGACCTCACCCTGGTCTGGCACTCTGGGAACTGAGAGTTTCTTTGTTTGGGTACAACTGATGGGTTTCTCAGTGATGTCCAGGCATCAGAGCGGTTTCCTTAAGCAGGCATGTTTAAATAGGGAAGAAAATCATAGGTAGGTTCTGAATGCCTTGCTTAACTCTACATTGTCAAGTGGAGTGAAGAGCAGCTTTCTTGTCCCTGAAAGAGCCCACTGGCTTTCAACAAACATACACAGGAGTTGAATGGAAGAGCATGCCTTGAGTGCAGCATCCATGCCAAGGTATAAATAGCTTCATTTCACAGGGACCAGACAGCTTCCTTAGCCTGGCAGCCAGATCCCAGCAGGCACTTGCATCCACTTTTGGAACAGCTAGGACCTGGATGCAAGGGATCCCTGCTGACTTGCTGCTCGCTCTGCTTCACCCATGGAATGTGTAGTACAAGCTGGTTTGTTTTCTACCTACTTCTCCTTCAGTAACTTTTAAAGGACAGCAGGGCCACAGAAATGATCAGAGGGATGGAGCACCTCTCCTGTGAGGAAAGACTGAGAGAGCTGGGGTTGTTTAGCCTGGAGAAGACCAGGAAAGCTGTACTGTGGCCTTTCAGTACTTAGAACGGGCCTGTAAGAAAGATGGGAAGAGACTTTTAATCAGGGCCTGTTGCGATAGGATGAGGGGTGATGGCTTTAAACTAAGTGGAGGGAGATTCAGACTAAATGTGAGCGAGAAATGTTTTACAGTGAGGGTGGTGAAATCCTGGCACAGGTTGCCCAGAGAGGTGATGGATGCACCATCCCTGGAGGCCAGGCTGGATGTGGTTCTGAGCAAGCTGATCTAGTTGACGATGTCTCTGCTCATTGCAGGGGGTTGGAACTGGGTGAGCTTTAAGGTCTCTTCCAACCCAAACTGTTCTATGATTCTATGATTGATTCTATGAATCTGTGAGTAAGAGCTTTTGGAGCAGGGAGGGCATATGACACAATGAACTTGCATCTGAGTAAGGCCAGTCTTGAAGGGTGATTGAGAGACAAGAGCCATGCAGTGCTGTTTTCCAGGGGCACCTTGGCACTGCAGACTCAAGCCAGAGGACATCCTGCCATTTCTTTCAGCTTAGCCCTGTTCCAAATGCATCCCTGACAAGTGTTTCATAACGTGAGATGTTTTCTTAGACAAAATCCTCAGGCAGTCCCAAAAGATCCATAACAGTTCCTGCACGTGCTCCTGCCTTAGAGTGATGAAGGCCTGGGTAGGCAGCCAGGGCATGAATCAGGAGAGAGAACGGAGTTTTCAATGCACTGTTTCCTGCAGCATAGGCACTGGGCTGTGTTAACAATATGAGATGTAGGGCATCTGAGCAGTGTGTAATGAGAAAAGGAAACAGCTCAGCACAAGAACTGGAGTGGATGAAGCAACCAGGGCTTAGAGTAACAAGAGAAAATCAGGAAAAGGAAATAAAAAGGGATTTAAGGAAGAAATGACTGCAGGAACTACCAAGTAGCACCAGAAAGGTACTTTCCGATAAGAGGAAGACTCGCTGGGAAAGCAGGATGAGGGTGGAAAGGGGTGGTTTTCAGCAGACAAAAAGAGACAGGAAAATATCACCCCCATGAAACAGGGGTGCTCACCCAGTTTAACTGTGTGGGCCGGTCACAGGCCCCTGGGGATAGAAGTCACACCTTGAGAGGGTGTCACCATCATTACCAGTATCATGGCGCTATCAGAGCTGCCCAGCAGGTACGTGTTTTCTGTAAGTGTAAGTTTGCTGAGCTATTGAAATCATATCAAGCTCTGCCTCTCTAGCATTTGTTTTAGGAAGAGGAATCAAAGAATCACATTTACTAGAAAAATGAAGTCATTCTGTTTCATGAGTATCTGTGGGCAACTGACTACTGAGCCTGCTCAGCACCAATGTCATCCCCTATTCACGACACTAGGAGTCAGCTCCTTTATCTGACTACTCAACAATTTCAGCTTGGAAGATCCAAGATGATTCAGTGGCTTAGTAATGCGTTTGTCAAGTGGAACTGAAAAAAAATACCAGCATTTTGGGGCAATATTCTTCTAACAAGAATCTGTATTACTGAAATGGCTGTTCAATATGATACAGTCACCTAACCACAGAGGACCACCCTCCTCTGATGCTTCTGCTTCCATTTGGTATTTGATCTGAACTCAGTGATTCTGACACATGGGGCAGAGGTAGCTCAAAGAGAACAAAAATGAGCAATGGGCCATTTTGTACAATAAAATATGTCTAATGCAGTCATCCAGCCTTGGTAAGTGTGTCTCACAGAGGGACAAAGCTGCATACAAATGTATAGGAGAGAGGAATTACAAAGAATGTTGTTGGGGAGTTTCATGCCTGGAGAGGAATGGAAAGAGAGAGGACTTGGGTATTCCGGATGAATCTTAGGAAAAGCACTGAGATAACAAAACCCTTTAGGATAAAAGAATTTAGTCATAAAAGGAAAAGAAAAGGACAAGAGGTTTAAAGAAATCAGTGTATCCGTTATCTGGAACACAAAATGAGATGGGACAATCTAGTTTTGAAATCCTGGAATTGAATGAGATAGGTAATTTCTGCTTCTCACATCTGTGTCCCTGTGAATCCAGCTGGCATGAAAATCCAAATATATGCAGCCTCTTCAGCATGTCAAAGCCAGTGCTGGGCCAGTGGGAGGTGGGATTTGTGGAAGCACCTGGACTGGGTTGTTGTTCTGCCTAGCACAGCTCCCACCCTGAGCACAGCTTGTATAGGCAAAGAGCTGTAGCAAAACCCAGAGTGAAGTTCTTACCTTTCACAAACACATAAATCCTGGCCATGAGATCCTCATCCGTGGGGGAGTCATCGTGGATGCAGGTGAAGTACCCGGTGTCGTTGGCTGTGACTCTCCTCATCACAAGCATGCTGCAGCTTTGCCTCGTGCTGTTGCGGCAACTGCTTATGTGCACCCGAGGGTCTTCCTTCTGGTCCCCCCTCAACAGCCAGCTTACGGAAGGTGCTCCCCTGTAACACAACACACCAGGATTAAAGGTGGAGTCATGACTTCAGATAGAACTTAGGCATCCTTCTGGCCCTTATCGGGGTTCCCATTGTTCCTACTCTCGCCATTTGCTGATGAATGATGGAGGTTGCTGGGTGTTTGCATTTCTGCCCATCAGAAATGAAGGTGGATCACCCCTCCTTCTTCCCCAGAGCAAGGGAGATTCCTGAAGTAGTCTGTGGGAACCGCAGCAAGCTCGGTTCTGGAGGAAAACTTCATTTTCAGGCTTCCTGAGCATGAGTTTGTTTTTACAGCACTGTATTTTAGCCACTTCAAACATTAGAAAGCTCCAGATGAAATTATATGTTTCTTCCAAGCTGAGGACTTTGCATATTTTAAGAGCTAAATTAACTTATATTTTCTTATTCTGAGGCTGCCTGGGGAGAGGAGGACATTTATGTAACTTCCCATCACCTTTCCTGCTTAATCAGCAGTGTCTCAGTGTCGATTTCTGTGAAGGAGCTGGAACTAATCACGTTACAGATCTTGGAATATCTGCTCGAGACACATTTTTTTCCCCAATTTACCTTGTCACAGCAGTCAGAACATCAAGCAGGGCAGCTGAGGCATCACCTCACCTACCCGGGCCCCCCTTGTCTTATCTGTGACCGCAGTGAATGTCAAATGCAGTTGTGCGTAGTTCACCAACAAAAAGCAAGGTCTTTTTATAACCCATTGCAGGACTTTGAGAGAGCTTTCAACTGGTCAAAGTTGGCTTGGTAACAGGCCCTGGTTGCACTAGAAACATGAGGTCACACACACCATGGCCGTAGGAGCTCTCAGAGCTCTCTTCTGCTTGGGCTGCACTTGAGGGCTCTGGTGGTGTACTGGTACGTGTGTGGGAGGTGAAGGTGATGGTTTTTGGTGCCAGACTGGGTGATGGTGGTCAGTGTGGAAACTGGTGTGGTGTGGGGGTAATTGTCCATGGATTTGTCTGGGGAAGAAGTTAGCATTAGGAGGCAGTTGTGTCTGTGATAGCAGAGGTGGGCAGCGACTTGACTCACCCCTTCTCACTCAGTGAATTCCCTTCGACCCTATGGCGTTTGCTGAGCTGAGGAAGGACTAAGAACCTCTGGATTTCTCCAGCTGAGTGTGGCCGGGGAGAGATCCGGTCTAGATGCACGGACCAGACACATCTAACAAGCAAACTGTGTGAAGTTTCCAGTTAGCTGAGAACTAACTGCTCTTCCTGTGCCAGTGGCTTTGTCGTGGTGCAGTAGGTGCAATAAGGGAGGGTGTTTGCCAGCAAATTCAGTGACACTTAAACAAACATCCTCTTGGCTCCTGTTTCTGCCCATCCTTTTGTCGCCTTCCTGAAGATGATGTGGACACAGGCCTGAACTCTTGAGGCTGTTCCCAGCACAGAGCTGAACAAGAGCACTGGGAAAAGTGTGAATATCCTCTGTGGTGAAGAGCCTCACCCTCCTTTTTGGATGCACTGTTGACTTGGACAACCCCACCTCATCCGTCACAGCAGCTTCCTGTCCTTCAGAGCACTGAATGATTCCTAGATGCAGAGGTTCCTCCCCGCTGTTCTTTCCTTACCTTACTGACGTCATTAGTGATGTAGTGGCCAGCTCGGTCAAGAAATGGGACTTCAGGCCCAGAATATGGAACAATTCAGGCAGTCAACTCCCAGCGTGTCATCGTGTCCCTGCCCCTTTGCCGTCATCCAGTCTGGTGTCCATCAGGGCTGGAAACCTGCACCAGTGGCTCGGAGGAGCAGGGCAGGGATTTCACACACTTGCGCTTCCTTACATGTGCCTACTTTTTCCTCCCCTATTTTATCCTGGTGGAAGATGAAGGCTTTGGCTCTTGCTTTGGGATTTTCACAAGGCTGGCAAAAGGAAGTTGCAGCAGTAGCTTTGGCCAGGCTGACAAAAATCAGGAAATCCAGGCCAAGAACCTCGAATGAATGGAGTTTAAGGGAGAAGGGATGTTCACACAGAGTAACCATAGTGTCACCTGCTTGGCCTCCTGTCTCCTGCTGTCCTCCACACAGCCCTAATGCTCCCTGAAGTATGAAGGGCTCCAGAGCAACCTTCAGGCCAGTCCAGAGTCCATCTGTGAGTATGCCAGAGGAGGCAGGATGACAGACACCCACAGAAGACCTGGAACAGGGAATCTTGCACCCCAAGTGCAGAAATCACACTTCTCTCTTCTATTCCCAGCTCTTGCATGACCTGTGTCAAGGAAGTGAGGTGCTCCAGGCCTCTGCCAGTCTGCTTTTCTGCTTCTCAGACCCATCATGTGGATTTATGGCTTTGCATCCATAAAGCAGTTTGGGACTGAATGCTAATAATGTCTTCACCTATTTATTCATCTGGTGGTATGAGAAAAACAGGATGTTCCTAGAGATTAAAAAGGCTGAATGGAGTTCAGTTCTCTGATGGAGAACTGCTGAAAAGTATTGATGGAATTGGCCTGGAGCACTACACCGAGCTCGTGCCCACGTAACGTGTTTTATGAAGTGCTGCATCTAGATTTTAAAGGACTGTTTAAACTTTATTGCCATCACGCTTGCTGCTTGCCAAGCTAAAATTACCACTGTCAGGTTGTTCTGACCTCAGAAGCCACGCGGCTAGCTGGAGGTACTGGGGGAAACCTGCCTTGTGTTCCAGAAGACATCACAGATTTATACAGAGTGAGTCGATTTACTTTGCATCATAACAATGAATTAAATAGACAGGACAAAAATCAGAAGGGACGTATGTGTTAGTGTAAGGATTTACCTTCCTGCTGCTTTTTCATACTGTTTTCAGTAACTCCTATTGCAAGAAACCATCCATGTAGTGGCTACGGTCAAGGGGACTTTGCAAGAAGGTGTAAAATAATGTGCATGCGTGACAGAAGCTGTGGTAGTTTGTATTACCTTAAGCCTTCCCTCCTACAGCATGCTTGGAAGGAATTAAAGCCCCAGCTCTCACAGTGGTTTAGCAGATCGGTCACACTTAAACCAAGTGACACCTACACACACCCCAGTCAGAGACCTCTCTGTGACCAAGCAAGTTAATGTATGTTCTGACACAGCAGAAAGTGCTCTGACTCTGTATTTGCCAGTTAGCTGTGTCCAAACCCATATCCCCCATTTCCAGAGGATCATCTCCCTGTAAATGCACGTCATTACCACAGTTTTACTTGTTTCTTTGTTGTTTTTACACATGGTGCCAAGAACTGAGGAGTTGCCATCATTTACAATATCAGCAGTCTGGTTTTTACTAGTCTTCGTTATCTTTGATTTAAGGAACATGATCTGTTTAAACAGGTCAGGGCTTTTGAATGTACCCATACTAACTGCTGTTTATTTAACTGTCATAAGCTAGATGGTATTTGAGGTTAGGAAGTTTAAGCTCATTTATACATGTAAAGAGGTAGTGACATGCCCTGGTGACCTTGTTTGTCGTTTACTTATGGACAGGGAGTGAAGGAGAGATTTGAGCTGCAGAGTGGCTGAATCTGAACCTATTTTCAGATGAGGATTTCCCAGCCATGTCCTTAACCATGGTACATCCCCCTTCCATAAGCTTTCCCATGTGCTGATTGAGGATGTTGCTTGGGCCCCTTTTACAACATGAAGAATTAGGCCAAGCCAGATGCTGACCTGGGACTTTCCTCCCTGCTCTATTACAGCCCATCAAATATTCCTTATGGAGAAATGCATGAACAGCACTGGTCCCCAGCTGGCTATGCAGCATCCATCCTACCCAAAAGCTGTCCTGTGCTGAGGTAATCAGTGCAACAAAGGAAGTCCAGCATCACTGGCGCAATCCTTACCTGCATTTTATCTTTAGGGTGTCTCCCGGTAGGATGACAATGTGGTCTTTGGCAATGCTTAGCGTTGGTTTCTCAAAAGATTCTTCCTCAGCCAGACCTGACCCAAATGGAGAGGAAACCATCATTAGACAGAGCAATAGAACAGGCACAATACAGCGCAGGCAGCTTTCTGTTTTGGAAGTAGTTCCTAATTCAGGGACCCAAGCAGTGATTGGTTTATACTAATGCAATTCAGTTGAGTGTGGAGTTAGTGTGAGATCCCCTTGGCTTGTTTGTAGTTTCCTTTATTTATCTGTTTTCTAACACTGAGCACCTGCATTTTTGCCAATAGTCTTTCTCTCACTTTATTTAGACGGCTTTCTGAGTTATTGCAGGTAGAGGAGTTA